GGGGGCAGGTTGGGGGGCAGGTTGGGGGGCGGTCTGGGCGCAGGCCGGGGGCCCCGCAGCGCCCCACGCCCGCCGCGCGCTCTCACCTGCACCAGGATGCGCGGGCGCTGCGGCGACGGGAAGGGCACGTTGTGCATGAAGTGCGAGATGTGCCTGGGCAGGGGGGGACGGAACAGGCGCCCGTGGGGCCGGCGGCGCCTCCCGCGGCCCCCCCGGCGCCCCCCGGCACCCCCCGGCCCCGGCGCTCACGTCTCCAGGGGCAGCACGTGGGGCCCCGAGATGGAGTAGCGGTAGATGAACATGAGGAACTTGCGGAAGACGTCGAAGAAGGGCCAGTGCGAGAGCACGCAGATGCTCTTGCGCGTGTGCACGGAGCGGCCGGCGATGGGGCGCCGGTCCACCACGCTGAGCAGCCCCAGGCGCAGGCGCTGCTTCTCCGAGAGGCGCTCCCGCGGGAACGCCTCGTGGAACTGGATGGCGGCGCCGTAGACCTGCGCGCGGCCGGGCCTCAGCACCGGGGGAGCACCCATGGGCGCCCGCGCGCCCGCCCGCCCCTCCTGCCTTGTCGCCCGAGGCGCCGGTGAGCACGAAGGTGGAGAAGACGGGCAGCGGGTACTTGGTGTCGGCCGGCCAGCTCTCCACCGTGGCGCCCATGGGCAGGCAGAAGACGGGCACCGAGTCGGGCAGCGGGAAGGCGTCGCTGTCGCGCGCGGGGTAGCGCCCCAGGAGCCCTGGCGGGGCGGGCGCGGGGGCGGCGCGTCACCCCACGGCGCCGCGCGCGCCCCACGCGCGCCCCACGGCGCCGCGCACCCACCGGCCTCGTACACCAGCGTGTTGGCCCTGGCCATGGCGATCTTGTAGCAGAGGAAGAGCGCGGGGCCCCACTGCGAGGAAGGCATCGGGTGGTGAGTGGGACCCACAGAGGTGCCCGCGCGCCCCACGCACCCCACACGCACCAAGCCCGCGTTGAGGTGGGTGTGGGGCTGTGAGTGGGACCCACAGAGGCACCCGCACGCCCCACACCACCCCACATGCACCAGAACTACATTGAGGTGGGCACGGGGTGGTGAGTGGGACCCATGGAGGCACCCACGCGCCCCACACACCCCAGGCCCGTGTTGAAGTGGGTGTGGGGCAGTGAGTGGGACCCACAGAGGCCCCCGCACGCCCCACACCACCCCACATGCACCAGGCCCGCGTTGAGGTGGGCACAGAGCGATGAACGGGCCCCACGGAAGGCACCCACGCGCCCCCCACGCACCAGACCCGCGTTGAGGTGGGTACAGGGTGGTGAGCAGGACCCAGAGAGGCGCCCGCCCCATGCGCCCCACACGCACCAGGCCCGCATTGAGGTGGGCACAGGGCGGTGAGCGGGCCCCACGGAGGTGCCCCCGCGCGCCACGCACCAGCCCCGCGTTGAGGTTGCGCTCCACGCGGCAGAAGGTGTGCGGGGTGCCCTCGCCCTTGCTGGGCATCACGAGGCAGATGTCGGTGAGCGCGAGCGCGCCGTGGCCCGGCGGCTCGGCCGCGCGCCGGTACGTGAGGAAGGTGCGCGGCTGGCCCGGCCCGCCCGAGCTCAGGTTGGCCGAGCGGCTGTAGGGCGTCGTGTCGAGCACGTGGCAGCCCGGCTTGGGCCGCTCCTTGCCCTCGTAGAGCACCCTGCAACGGGCCGCGCTCAGCGGGGCACGGCGCGGCGCCCGCGCTCACCCCAGCAACGTGAGCGGCGGGAGCGGGGGGACCCCTGGGGCTGAGGGGATCCCTGGGGGCTGAGGGGATCCTTGGGATCGAGGGGACCCATAGGGTTGAGGGGATCCCTGGGGCTGAGGGGATCCTTGGGATCGAGGGGACCCATAGGGTTGAGGGGATCCCTGGGATCAAGGGGACCCTTGGGATCGAGGGGACCTCGGGGGTTGAGGGGATCGCTGGGGCTGAGGAAATCCTTGCGATTGAGGGGGTTGAGGGGATCCTTGGGATCGAGGGGACCCTGGGGGTTGAGGGGACCCCTGGGATCAAGGGGACCCGTAGGGTTGAGGAGATCCCCAGGGTTGAGGAGATCTCGGGGGTTGAGGGGACCCCTGGGGTTGAGGGGATCCTTGGGATCAAAGGGACCCCAGGGGTTGAGGGGACCTGTAGGGTTGAGGGGATCCCTGGGATCGAGGGGACCCTGGGGGTTGAGGGGATCCCTGGGATCGAGAGGACCCCTGGGATTGAGGGGACCCCTGGGATTGAGGGGACCCATGGGATTGAGGGGACCCCTGGGATCGAGGGGACCCCTGGGATCGAGGGGATCTTTGGGATTGAGGAGACCCTGGGGGTTGAGGGGATCCCTGGGATCAAGAGGACCCCTGGGATTGAGGGGACCCATGGGATTGAGGGGACCCATAGGACTGTGGGGACCCGTGGGCTCGAGGGGCCCCGCGGGCTCGAGGGGCGGCGGCGGCGCTCACCCCAGCTCGATGAGCGGCAGCTTGTCGCGCCCGCGCCGGTAGCACAGGAACATCTGGGGGTTGTTGAGGAGGCCGGCGTTGAGCTCGGCCGGGTGGCCCGACGCCGTCGTCTCGATGCACGTGAAGCCCTGCGGCACCTCCTCGCCCTGCGCGCGGATGATGACGGCCACGTCGGTGATGGGCTCGGCGGGCCGCGGCGGGCGCTGCTGCGGGCTCTCGTCCTCCAGCGGCTGCGCGGCGCCGGCCAGCCCGGCCACCACGAAGTAGTCGACGAGCCGCGGCGGCCCCTCGTCCGCCATGGCCGCCGCTCACGGCATCGGCAGCTCCGCGCTCCGCTCCGCCGGCCCTTCCCGCGGGAAGGGAGGAGGTTTCCTGTTGGCCGCGGCACCGGCATCCGCGTCGCCCACAAAGGGGAAGGGAGCGGGAGAAGGAGCCACGGATGGGCCGGCGCGGCCGGGACCGGCACGGGCGGCGGCGACGCGGCCCGCGGGACGGAAATGCCCGGGGGTCCCCTCGATCCCGGGGGTCCCCTCGATCCCAGGGATCTCCTCAACCCCATGGGTCCCATCGATCCCAAGGATCCCCTCAGCTCCAGGGGTCCCCTCAATCCCAGGGACCTCCTCGATCCCAAAGATCCCCTCAATCCCAAGGGTCCTCTCAATCCCAGGGGTTCCCTCAAGCCCAGGGATCCCCTCTACTCCAAGGATCCCCTCGATCCCAGGGATCTCCTCTACTCCAAGGGTCCCCTTAACCCCAAGGATCCCCTCAATCCCAGGGATCCCCTCAGCCCCAGGGGTCCCCTCGATCCCAGGAATCCCCTCTACTCCAAGGATCCCCTCAACCCCCAGGGATCCCCTCGATCCCAGGGGTCCCCTCGGTCCCAGGGGTCCCCCCGCTCTCCCCGTTCCCGTTCCCGGGCGCAGCCGCCCGACTATTTTTATCGCCGCCCCACGTGACGCCGGCGGCTCCGGCGCCGCGGCCTCGACCCACTTCAGCTTCCCGGCCCCCACCCGGAGCGCGCCTGGAAAAGGGGGTGCCGCCGAGCGCCCCCCCGGCCCCGCGCCCGCCCGGAGCGCCCCTGGAGCACCCGCGTCCCCAGCCCGGCTCGCGGGGCCCCGCTCCGGGCCCCAGGCATGGGGCCGCTATGGGGCAGCAGGGTCCCCTGTCCCCCCACAGCAGTGGGTCCCGCGGGGCCCCTGTCCCCCCCCACGACACACAGCAATGGGGCCCATGGGGCCCCCGTCCCCCCCCCAGCAGCCCAGGACTTTCCAGCCCAACCGCAGCGGCAGCCGGAGCAGGAACCCGCGCGCGGAAAGAGGAAGCAGCGGGCGGGGGGGCAGGGCCCTCCGGCCCCACTGCGCCGTGGGGCAGAGCCCCCGGCCCCACCGCGCTGTGGGGCAGGGTCTGGGCAGCACTGGGGGGCAGAGCCGGCCCCCCGGGGCCAACCGGCCCCACGGCGCCGGCCGGGAGCTTTGGGGGTGGCACGGGGTGGAAGGCACTGGGTGTCCCCCCCTCTGCCCCATTGCGTGCCCCCCACATGGCCCCGAGTGTCCCCCCCACAGCGTCCCCCCTCTACCCCACTGTGTGTCCCCCCGGCCTCGCACCTGCACTGCCGTGGGGCGGACGCCGTGGGGCGGAAACCACAGGGCAGGAAACGTCAGCGGGGGCACAGAGCTCCCCACAGCTCTGCCCAGAGCTCCCGCCAGCCCCACAGCTGCCCACAGCTGCCCCACAGCAGCCCCAGGACCCCACAGCAGCCCCCAGGGGCCCAAAGTTGCCCCCAAGGCCCCTATAGCAGCCCCCAGACCCCCACAACTGCCCCCAGACCCCCACAACTGCCCC